GTATTTCAAAGTGTAGTCCAAAACTAATGTAAGCCAAAATACCAGGGATACTTGTTAAAAATTCAGATACCTGTGCCCCATCCCAGACCTAGTGAATTAAACTCTCTTTGGCAACTGAAAAGTTTCCCAGGGCATCCTTTTTTTTTTTTTTTTTTTTTTTTTTTTTTTTTGAGACGGAGTCTCGCTCTGTCGCCCAGGCTGGAGTGCAGTGGCCGGATCTCAGCTCACTGCAAGCTCCGCCTCCTGGGTTCACGCCATTCTCCTGCCTCAGCCTCCTGAGTAGCTGGGACTACAGGCGCCCGCCACCTCGCCCGGCTAGTTTTTTGTATTTTTTAGTAGAGATGGGGTTTCACCGTGTTCGCCAGGATGGTCTCGATCTCCTGACCTCATGATCCACCCATCTCGGCCTCCCAAAGTGCTGGGATTACAGGCTTGAGCCACCGCGCCCGGCCGCATCCTTTTAACTAAGCATTTTTATCTCAATGCATTTTACAAATCAGCTTTCAAAGTGGTACTTTTCAAAAACATGCCAGCTCACTTCACACATAGGTATATTTCTGAAAAGTTGTTAGGTGTGTACTTGTACACCAAACCATCATTCCCCTAAAGACTATCGTGATCATTTCAGAATTATGTTCATCCAGAAAGAAACAAACCAGATTTGAATCCATTCAACCTTTAAACAAATATTCTTTATCTAATTTTTCTGTATTACTTACCTAAGAGGCTGACCAAATGGACTCGCATACTCATTATTTTTACTTAGTTTAGAAGTACGTATATTTAAAATTATAATATACTGTTAACACATTCCATTTTGACTTTGAACACTTTGAACTAATTACACTAAACTTAACTGGTTAAGTATCGTAATCAAGTGGCATTTAGTAGAACTCATGAATAGAGAAAGTGCCACAGGAAGACAGTTTTCAGAAAATACAAAAACTGAGGTTTGTGGTTTGGACTCTTAACAGCAAAGATATCCCTTTATATGCTGAGCTCTGCTAACGAAAAGTATTTGTCAACTTCTTGCCAATAGATAGCCAAGAAGTATGAGATGTGAATCTATTCAATTCAAAGATGGAAATAATAGCTAAGAACAACAGTGGTTAATATTTATTCACTTATCTCATTAGAGGTTTCCTTCTAAATCCTTTATATGCATTAACTAATTTAATCCTTACAACAATTCTGTAGACTGTGGCTTTAGACCTTATTTCCCAGATGAGGATGCTGAGGTATAGAATTACATAATTTTCCTGAGATTCCACAGCTAGAAATAGGAGGTGAGATTCAAAACCAGGCAGCCTGTCTCCAGAATCTACATTCAAAGACAGTGGGCTACACTAGGATTTTAAGAAAGTCTTAGATGTTGGAACAATTACCTGCCTCTATATAAATGCTTTCTGTTTATGTTTTGGGTTTTTTTTTTTTTCTTTATACAATTGATTTTAAGATAAATTGTGACTACCTTGCATCCCTGTTTATGTTTAGTTGCTAGATCTCATTATAAAGGACTTGAAATATGACAGGAATTCCAAAATTAGCATCAAATAGGAATTCAGCATCATACAGAAAAATAAAAATGTGTTTTAAAAGATACTTTATTCTGAATTTAAGGGCAGAATAGTATAGTGGTTTACAGCTGTGCTTCTCAATTTTTCATGTGCTGGTCACCTAAGTACATTGTTAAAAATGCAGATTTTCAGCAGCTCTGAGATTCTGCATTTGTAGCAAGTTCCTGGGTGATGGTAACACCGCTAGCCTGAAGATCATATTTTGAGTAGGAAAGGTTCAGAGTTCAAACTCTGGAGTCACACTGCTTATGTTTCTTTTCTTCTTTTTTGAGAAGGAGTCTCACTCTGTCACCCAGGCTGGAGTACAATGGAATGGTCCCAGCTCACTGCAACCTCTGCCTCCTGGGTTCAAGCAATTCTCCTGCCTCAGCCTCCCCAGTAGCTGGGACTACAGGCATGTGCCACCATACCCGGCTAATTTTTGTATTTTTAGTAGAGACAGGGTTTCACTATGTTGGCCAGGCTGTCTTGAACTCCTGACCTTGTGATCCATCCGCTTTGGCCTCCCAAAGTGCTGGGATTACAGGCGTGAGCCACCGTGCCTGGCAACACACTGCTGATGTTTCAGTACCAGCTCCATTACTTACTAGTTGTATAACCTTCTCCTCATATACCTCTACTATATCCATAAAAGAGTGAGAGCATTAAAGGGTTGTTACCAGGATTACATGGGATAATCCATAGATAGTACATAGAACAGTCTTAGCACATAGAAAGACCTCAATAAAGGTTATCTCTCAGTATTATTGAAAAATATTAAAAGCATATATTGTATCCCATTAGAAAGTCATTTATAGAATTGATTGATCTAGCAGAAACACTAAATAAAATGTCATCATTCTTTTCCAGGCAGTCACAAGAACATCACTGTACAATGAAGGACATTAAATACGTAAGTTAGAACCACCATCCAGCTTTATTAAATACATAAATCTGAAAGTGCTCTAAATGAATTTGCATAAAGCTGGTTTGGTCTATGATATTTAAAGAGCATATTTTGTTTCTATGCCAGAAAACTTTTCTATATTGCAGGTACACACTGAGTTCCAATTCATTTATTTGAATAGCTTCCTCTGAACTTTGAAAAAGCCATTTTAGTTTAAAAAATTTTATTTCAATGAAATATATGTCAGTACTAGTATTAATATCAACAATAACAATGATTTAAAATATTTGTTCAAGGAAGAACACTGCTACAGTTTAAATAAATGCAGAGGATTTAATCAATGCCTTCATAGACAACTGTACACATATTCAAACTATAATACAATGCAGCACAATTACTTCCTGCCTTTGAGAACTGAGACGTAAAAGAATATTATTTATCAAAAATGTAGTGATTGAATAATAACCCCAAATCAGAGAAGCTAATGTGTAGGAAAAGTAGAGTTAGCACCAGAAATGAAGATAAAATTTCATAGTAACTTCCCAAATGAAAACTCTAAGAAATGTATTTCAACACTGTTGAAAAATAAAGACATAGAAAGAATGGAGTACATTAGAAAAGAAAAACTAATGTTTACCCAGTCATTGATTAAAACCAGAGCCAGGTGTTTCAATCAAGAAGATGAGAGCTAGAAAGTGTTTTTGGTTGGTGGCTATCTTTAAGAGTCAGCAAGAAAAGGTCAATAAATAATTTGCCTACCCCTTTATCTTTTATTTTTCCAACATAGGTGATTAAAAAAACAATTGTGGTACAAATTCTATTACATTTATTTTTCTAAATCAAAACTAGATTCAACATAGGCAATACAGACCTGCCAAGTAAAATCATGACAGATAAGAATCAAGGAAAAGGGAGGGATCTGGGTAAGTGGATTATTCTTTCCTCTCTGCGCTTTCTCTTTCCCTACAGATTGGTGTTCCTGGCTGCTCCTTTGTCTGCTGTGGTACTAGGTTTTTTAAAAAACACACAACACATAGGATTTTACTTTCATTTTACTTTCTATGACAAGTGTTATTTTAAAATAGTAAGATTTTACCAAAAACTCTGCATAACAATGCTTTACATAAAGGATTGCCAGATGTACTTTCCAAGACAGGGCTTACCTGTATTCAATTATATCAAATAAGCATTCACAAAATGAAATTAAACATGTGCTCTTAGTGAAAAAAATATCAATAGTGAAATATGAGGTTCTTTGTATCTATAGAGGTGATAACACCAACAAGATCAAATCATTAGGATTAGAGGTACAAGAGGAATAGAATTTCAACAGAAATATACCAACATCATGTCTTGTTATTTGAGTTTACATTTTTCTTAATCAAATACTGAAAAACATAAATTTAATGAAAATGCCTAAGCTAACTGTTTTCCATTTATAAATTAGCTGTCTCTCACCTCCAGAGGAGCAAGGAATTCCACTTCTGTATGACCTATTTATGCCTCTTGGATTTATCACATGCATTTTTTAATGACCTTGAACCAAAGGAAATGTAGAAACCTATTTGAAAAGTTGACATTAAGGTTGTGACACCAACCAAAACAACCAGAGAATTTAAAGTTAAACTGACACACAATCCCCAAATCAGTCTGTTATACTCCTAATTTAAAAAACAGTTCTAATGTGAAATTGTGATAGCATGTCAGCCTCTGCTTTGAAACTCCTGAATTTTGTCATTGGTGTTTGTGTCACAACCTTAATAATATTTAAATATACTTTTTAATATCTATTATTTAAAAAATATCTTTGGATTGAAGATACTCTAAAGCTTTGAAGAAGCCAACCTCAAAGCACTGCATTCCTAGCATGCCACTTTTATTAGAAGTAGTGCATAAAACATTTGCTGTTGACAAATCTAATTCATTAAAAGGTGAGATGGATGCATTTTAAAATAACTGGCTGGCATCATTATCTGCAGCGCCTTTTATAAATTATTCCTCTTTTCCCTTTTGACTGAACTTGTCACAGTTCCTTTCAGAGTCTGAGTGTTATGCCTTATAGTCAATGCTTTCAACATGTTTAGACAAGTCACAAGTTAAACAAGCAGTGGTATTTTATTTCCTAGAAATAAGAAAGGGTAACAAAAATACTAATTATTTCATTCAATTCATTGATTTTGAACTAAAGACAAGTAAAGTCAGTTAGTGGTGGTTTCATCTCACATGAAGAATTTAAAAATAAAAGTATACCGTTTGCATAGAATGGGGAATTTCAAAGAAAGGAACATAAAGAGAGATGCTGGTGGCCCTGCTGCAGTGTTGTGTAGAAGACTTGGTTAAAAATCTAATTGTGCTTTCCCTAACATTGGAGATCAGGTAAATCATAAAGCTGACAGCTGGCTGGCACACTGACTTCCTAAAGGAGAATGCTAACTGTATTCTCTTAGAGGCCAAAGGAAGAGAATTATAGAAGCTTTCAAGGAAATTGAGTAAGCACAGTACAAATTACGCAAAATAAGAAGAAAAACATTTCTTACCTAATTTTATTTCAGAAGACACTAAGAATGAACTGGTCTTCTAATCCTAAGGAGGTAGAAAATTATTTTCTCAAGGGTTGTCAGCAGAACTGTCTCTTCTCTAGTACCTTCAGCAAAGTTTTTTTTTTTTTTCCAAAGTATGTAAAACGTACCTGAAAAATGATGGGACAAAGCTTTATCACTGCCACAATGGGATAGAGGGCATCTTCACATTAGTTGCCCAGATTACTAGTTACAGTACTATCATTAAACCATGACATATGGGCTTGAGTCAGGAAGAAGAGATGTTGGAAATACACAAAGACATCCTGAAGATTACATACCTAAGAAAAGCTTATTAATAAAATAGTCCATAGATTGTAGCAACACAGGTAATAGGGGCACCTTGGAAAATGCATATTTAAAACATTCCTTCTATTTTCATTAAAAATTTATCACTCCTAAAGAAATGTATCATGAAGAGAGTAACATGCAGTTGCACCACATAAAACAAGCAATGTTATTCAATCCAAATACTTTTTTTCTTGTTTAGTTACTATTTGCTCCAAATAATTTATTAAAACCATCTTTTCCCCACTCTTCTGAGTGATCCTGTTAAAAACAGATTCCTTGGGGAGGCGCTTCCAAGATGGCCAAATAGGAACAGCTCCGGTCTACAGCTCCTAGTGAGATTGATGCATAAGACAGGTGATTTCGGCATTTCCAACTGAGGTACCTGGTTCACTTTATTGGGATTGGTTGGACAGTAGGTGCAGCCCATGGAGGGTGAGCCAAAGCAGTGTGGGGTGTCACCTCACCCAGGAAGTGCAAGGGGTCAGGGTATTTCCCTTTCCTAGTCAAGGGAAGCCATGAGTGTCTGTACCTGAAGGAATGGTACACTCATGTCCAAATACTGTGCTTTTCCCATGGTCTTCGCAACTGGCAGACCAGGAGATTCCCTCCTGTGCCTGGCTAGGTGGGTCCCACAACCAAGAAGCCTTGCTTGCTGCTAGCGCAGCAGTCTGAGATTGACCTGGGATGCTAGAGCTTGGCAGTGGGAGCAATGTCGGCCATTGTTGAGGCTTCAGTAGGTTGTTCTATGCTCACAGTGTGAACAAAGCAGCCCAGAAGCTCGAACTATGTGGAGCCCACCACAGCTAAGCAAGGCCTACTGCCTCTCTAGATTCCACATCTGGGGGCAGGGAATACCTGAACAAAAGGCAACAGACAGCTTCTGCAAACTTAAACGTCCCTGCCTCATAGCTCTGAAGAGAACAGTGGTTCTCCCAGCATGGCATTTGAGCTCCAATAATGGAAAGACTGCCTCCTCAAGTGGGTCCCTGACCCCCGTGTAGCCTGACTGGGACATACCTCCCAGTAGGGGCTGACAGACACCTCACACAGGCGGGTGCCCATCTGGGATGAAGTTTCCAGAGGAAGGATCAGGCAGCAATATTTGCTGTTCTGCAGCCTCCACTGGTGATACACAGGCAAACAGGGCCTGGAGTGGACCTCCAGCAAACTCCAACAGATCTGCAGCTGAGGGGCCTGTTTGTTAGAAGGAAAACTAACAAACAGAAAGGAATACCATCAACATCAATGAAAAGGACATCCACACCAAAATCTCATCCATATGTCACTAACATAAAAGACCAAAGGTTGATAAAACCACAAAGATGGGGAGAAATCAGAGCAGAAAGGCTGCAAATTCCAAAAGCCAGAATGCCTCTTCTCCTCCAAAGGAACACAACTCCTTACCAGCAAGGAAACAAAACTGGGGGGAGAATGAGTTTGACGAGCTGACAGAAGTAGGCTTCAGAAGGTCGGTAATAACAAATTTCTCTGAGCTAAAGGAGCATGTTCTATCACAAGGAAGATAAAAACCCTGAAAAAAGGTTAGACGAATGGCTAACTAGAATAACCAGTGTAGAGAAGAGCTTAAATGACCTGACAGAGTTGAAAACCACAGTATGAGAACTTCATGAAGCATACACAAGCTTCAATAGCCAATTTGATCAAGTGCAAGAAAGGTGATCAGTGATTGGAGACCAAATTAATGAAATAAAGTGAGAAGACAAGATTAGAGAAAAAAGAGTGAAAAGAAATGAACAAAGCCTCCAAGAAATATGGGACTATGTGAAAAGACCAAATCTACGTTTGACTGGTATACCTGAAAGAGACCGGGAGGATGGAAACAAATTAGAAAACACTCTTTGGGATATTATCTGGGAGAACTTCCCCAACCTAGCAAGGCAGGCCAACATTCAAATTCAGGAAATACAGAGAACACCACATAGATACTTCTTGAGAAGAGCAACCCCAAGACACATAATCGTTAGATTCACCAAGTTTGAAATGAAGGAAAAAATGTTAAGGACAGCTAGAGAGAAAGCTCGGGTTACCCACAAAGGTAAGTCTGTGAGACTAACAACAGATCTCTCTGCAGAAACCCTACAAGCCAGAAGAGAGTGGGGGCCAATATTCAACATGCTTAAAGAAAATAAATTTCAACCCAGAATTTCATATCCAGTCAAACTAAGCTTCATAAGGGAAGGAGAAATAAAATCCTTTACAGACAAGCAAATGTTGAGAGATTTTGTCACCACCAGGCCTGCGTTACAATAGCTCCTGAAGGAAGCACTAAACATGGAAAGGAACAACTGGTACCAGCCACTGCAAAAACATGCCAAATTGTAAAGACCATCAATGCTGTGAAGAAACTGCATCAATTAATGGGCAAAATAACCAGCTAGCATCATAATGACAGGATCAAATTCAAACATAACAATATAAAACTTAAATGTAAATGTGCTAAATGCCACAATTAAATGATTCAGACTGGAAAATTGGATAAAAAGTCAAGACCCATTGGTGTGCTGTATTCAGGAGATTCATTTCATGTGCAAAGACACACATAGGCTCAAGATAAAGGGATGGAGGAAGATCTACCAAGCAAATGAAAAGCAAAAAAAAAAAAAAAAAAAAAAAAAAAAAAAAAAAAAAAAAAAAAAGCAGGGATTGCAATCCTGGTCTTTGATAGAACAGACTTTAAACCAAAACAAAGATCAAAAGAGACAAAGACGGCCATTACATAATGGTAAAGGGATCAATTCAACAAGAAGAGCTAACTATCCTATATGCACCCAATACAGGAGCACCCAGATTCATAAAACAAGTTCTTAGAGACCTACAAAAGGACGTAGACTCCCATATAATAATGGCAGACTTTAACACTCTGCTGTCAATATCAGACAGATCAATGAGACACAAAATTAACAAGGATATTCAGGACTTGAATTCAGCTCTGGACCAAGTAGGCCTAATAGATATCCACCCCAAATCAACAGAATATACATTCTTCTCAGTACCACATCACATTTACTCTAAAATTGATCACATAATTGGCAGTAAAACACACTTCAGCAAATGTAAAAGAACAGAAATCACAACAAACTATCTCTCATACCACAGTGTAATCAAATTAGAACTCAGGATTAAGAAAACCACAAAACTACATGGAAACTGAACAACTTGCTACTGAATGACTACTGGGTAAATAATGAAATGAAGGCAGAAATAAAGATGTTCTTTGAAACCAATGAGAAAAAAGTCATAATGTACCCAAATCCCAGGGACACATTTAAAGCAGTGTGTAGTGGGAAAAACAGCACTAAATGCCCACAAGATAAAGCAGGAAAGATCTAAAATCGACACCCTAACATCACAATTAAAAGAACTAAAGAAGCAAGAACAAATAAATTCGAAAGCTAGCAGAAGACAAGAAATAACTAAGATCAGAGCAGAACTGAAGGAGATAGAGACACAAAAAACCCTTCAAAAAATCAACGAATCTGGGAGCTGGTTTTTTGAAAGATCAACAAAATAGATAGACCACTAGCCAGACTAATAAAGAAGAAAAGAGAGAAGAATCAAATAGATGCAATAAAAAATGATAAAAGGGATATCACCACCAATACCACAGAAATATAAACTACCATCAGAGAATGCTATAAACACCTCTACATATATGAACTAGAAAATCCAGAAGAAATGGATAAATTCCTGGACACATACACCCTCTCAAGACTAAACCAGGAAGAAGCTGAATCTCTGAGTAGACCAATATCAAACAGGTTCTGAAATTGAGGCAATAATTAATAGGCTACTCCCCAAAAAAACTCCAGGACCAGACAGATTCACAGCTGAATTCTATCAGAGGTACAAAGAGGAGCTGGTACCATTCCTTCGAAGACTATTCCAATCAATAGAAAAAGAGGAAATCCTCCCTAATTCTTTTTTATGAAGCCAGCATCATCCTGATACCAAAGCCTGGCAGACACAACAATAAAAGAGAATTTTAGGCCAATATCCCTGATGAACATCAGTGCTAAAATCCTCAATAAAAAACCGGCAAATTGAATCCAACAGCACATCAAAAAGCTTATCCATCATCATCAAGTCACCTTCATCCCCGGAATGCAAGGCTGGTTCAACATATGCAAATCAATAAATATAATCCATCACATAAACAGAACCAATGACAAAAACCACATGATTATCTCAATAGATGCAGAAAAGGCCTTCAAAAAAATTCAACAGCCTTTCATGCTAAAAATTCTCAATAAACTAGGATTTGATGGAATGTATCTGAAAATAATAAGAGCTATTTATGACAAACCCAAAGCCAATATCATACTGAATGGCAAAAACTGGAAGCATTCCCTTTGAAAACCAGCACAAAACAAGGATGCCCTCTCTTACCACTCCTATTCAACATTGTATTGGAAGTTCTGGCCTGGGCAGCTAGGTAAGAGAAAGAAATAAAGAGAATTCAAGTAGGAAAAGAGGAAGTCAAATTGTCCCTGTTTGCAGATGACATGACTATATACATAGAAAACCCCACTGTCTCAGCCCAAAATCTCCTTAAGCTGATAAGCAACTTCAGCAAAGTCTCAGGATATAAAATCAACGTGCAAAAATCACAAGTATTCCTATTCAGCAAGAACAGAAAAACAGAGAGCCAAATCATGAGTGAAATTCCATTCACAATTACTACAAAGATAATAAAATACCCAGGAATCCAAGTTACAAGGGATGTGAAGGACTTCTTCAAGGAAAACTACAAACCACTGCTCAACAAAATAAAAGAGGACACAAACAAATGGAAGCATAT